TAAAATCGCGATAACTCCGCTATTCATCCTACAGAATCCAAGTTTGCTTATTTTAAATACAAAAGAATTAAATATAAAATTGAATATAAAATTGAATATATAATAAAAGAATTATCTACATTTACGTATTCACTATTATTATAATTGTTGTTAAATTATGATTATTATAAACAATTAAAATATTTAATACAATTAAAATTATTTGAAAGTGACTAAAACAATTACAAAAGATAAATAATAAAAAGTATACAGCCACAACAATAGATGTAAACAAGTCATGTATTTAAAATTCCAAATAAATAAGTAAACGTTTCGATCAAGATTTGACCATCATCAGTACATAAAAAGATGACAAAATTGAAAGTCTTACAAACTAAAACGCAGGTCGGATGTTAAATTAAAAATTACATAAAGAAATTGATAGGCAAAAGGTAACATGCCATTACAATCGCAATGATCGCGCTTAAAAGTTAAAATAATTTCTTCTTGCTTATGAGATTTGAAAAATAGTATGAAAAGAAGTCAGGAAAGCTGTTAAGCGCAGAAAACATTGCGCAAATAATATATCTATGAAATGTGAAACTTCTTTATTCACTAAAACGCTTACATGTTTCGGCTCACTTTTGAAATTTGTTCAAATATATCATGTTCATGCTCAATTTTCAAGGTGTTCTCTATCGATCCCGAACTTTTTATTAACATTATTAATATTCAGGGAGTCAAAATCTATAAAAAACGCTATTCCTTTTACTTACACCTTTATGGGAAAAATCAGTCTCTTTTTTCTTCTTTAAAAAATTGTAATTGTTATTTTCTGTAATGATATTTTTTGTAGGAATTTATTTTTTGCTTAAGTATGCACGCACGCACACACACGCACGCACGCGCGCACGCACATATAGGGTGTTCCATTTTAAGTAATTATTGCAAAAAGATTAAAACCTCCCCGATGACCTTGATCTTGATATATGTAGTCAAGATCATGATCTCTACTAATCTTCAATAGGTTTTAGGCGGTGATTGCCATTCATTGAAAGGTTATTTAATAAAAAACATTTAAAAAAAAACATATCCTTTTTGCTACAACGACTATTACCTCTCTCCCTTTTTAGGGACGCACGACTTCCACGCGAAACGACTCCCACCTTAATAAAACTTGCTTCGCGTGAAAAGTCGTGCGCTTTTAAGCAGGGGGTAGGTGGGGTGGAAGTCGCTTCCAGTGAAAGTCGTGCGCCCACAAGCAGGGAGAGAAGTGGGGTGAAAATTACTTCGCGTATAAATTCGTATACCCTTATGCGGTACTATATAATAACAAAAATGATGAGAAAACATTTTCAAAGAAAATTTTTGTTTTTAAAGCAGGAAATCTATTTTAAAGCAGAAAATTTTTGTTCTATATAGTAGAAAAGAAACGTTATTTTTTTTAAATTTCTTTTGTTAATAACTTTTTAACATCTGCTAAAATCTGTTGGAAGTTACTCAGGGTCATGACCTTAATAACATATGTCAAGATCATCGGCGGAGTTTTTGTAATAATTACCTCATTTTAATTTTCCCAGGCAAATAGGTATCTCGAAAAAATATGGAAAATGTAGAAAAATGTTTCAGACAAAAGTTGCATGGTTTAGAGTAGATCACATTTTAATCATGTTGTCTTTCTTCTAGATGGAGGCATCAAAAAGATATGAAGGCACTTTCACTCTTTTATATGGAATGGTATAATTTTTTTTCCACAATATGTGTGTGTGATTCCTTTAATTATTATGCATAAAAAAGTATTAAGGTAGTGATATAAAAAAACCGATAGTTTACGAGATATTTTATACTTTATTCCGGCACATATTGACTTAAGTTATAAAGTATTAAATAACTCGTAAACTATTAATTTTTTTATAATCGTAAAGAAAACACATAATTGCTTTAAAAAAATATGTGTGCAAAATGGATAATTTTTTAAATAAGCAATGTTTTAAAAGTTATATGTTTTCTTTCCACTAATTGATTCATCTCATTATTCTGTTCATATAAGTATTCAGGTACGATTAAAAAAAATTAATAGTTTACGAGTTATTTAATATTTTATATCAATGTGTGTGTATGCCAGAATAAGGTATAAAATATCTCATAAAGTATTAGTTTTTTGATATCACTACCTTAATACTTTTATAAGCAGAATAATTAAAGGAATCATATTATTTATTTAAAAAAAATTATACAATTCCTTTTAAAAAAGTGGAAATGACTTTCATATTTTTTTTTGGCGTCTCCAACTAGAAAAAAAACATGACCAAAAAATACGTGCCTCTTCTAAATCATGTAACTTTTGTCTGAAACATTTTTCTATATCATCCATATTTTTCGAGATATTTGCCTAGGGAAATTAAAAATACATACACAGGATGTTTCCTTTAACTTGATCATCTAAAATATCTCCGTTGTTTTTAATGATACGAGAAAATAGCAAAGGAGGAAGTTGTTCGATTTGAAGAGGCACATATTATGATGAGCAAAAAAATTTTCTTAAGGTCATATCTTGTGAGATTTTAAGGTTATCTCTATTTTTTTAAATAAAATTGTATGATTTTTTTACACAATATGGTTCCTGTATTTATTCTGAATATAAAAGTATTAAGATAGTGATATCAAAAAATAGTTTACAAGATATTTTATACTTTATTTTATCACATATTAGCATAAAATATTAAATATCTCGAAAACTATTAATTTTTTTTATAATTGTACCTTAATACTTTTATGAACAGAATAATAGGTAAATCAATTAATAGAAAAAAAACACATAGTTGTTTTAAAAAAATACGTATGCAAATAGATAATTTTTTAAATAAACAACTGTGTTTTTTTTCATTAATTGATTCATCTCATTATTCTATTCATAAAAATATTAAGATATGATTATCAAAAAATTAATAGTTTATGAGATATTTAATATTTTATGACAACATGTGACAGAATAAAGTGTAAAATTTTATTACTTGTAAACTATTGATTTTTTTATATATATATCACTATCTTAATACTTTTACATTCAGAATAATTAGAGAAATCATATATATACTATATATAGGATAAGGCATTTAAAATAAATTACGTTTAGTGTTTTTAATACTAAAAGGAAAAGTGCCAAACAAAAGAATGAATTCAAGAGGGACATATTTTGGTTATGTTGTCTTTCTTCTAGATGGGAGCGCTAAAAAGATATAAAGGTCACCTCCATTTTTTTAAACTGATTTGGATGATTTTTTTTACATAATATAGTTTCTCTAATTATTCTGTATATCAAAGTATTAAGATAGTGATATAAAAATATGATTCCTCTAATTATTCTGAAACCAATAGTTT